TATTAACCAATTCACTTAGAAATGACAGAAGAGACAACTTTAATCAGCTAATGTCATCGTTATGTCAAAAGAAAATGTATTCGGATAAAGTTTGGCTGACGATTCGTAAGTTTCATAACAAACGAATCAAACAAACTTTTTCAAGCAGCATGAAATACAACAACACAACACAACAGCAACATCAGATAAGGAGAAAGCAGACCTATTTGCCGATTACTTCGAAAATGAAGTCTACTCTCTTACTGCTGATTCGCTACCATTTCATGATCAAGTAACACGCCAAACAAACAACATCAAGAACGGAATTATAACCATATCAAACACAACCAAGTGGAAAGAAATCACAGTAAAAGAAGTTAAATATCACATTAAACAACTTCGAAATAGCTCCACTGGTCCAGACAACATTCACAACAGATGTTTGAAGAATGCTTCAGAATTACTGATTAAACATTTAACAAACTTGTTCAACTTAATTCTGAAGTACGGTTATATTCCAACAAAGTGGAAAACAGCTTATATCATTCTTCTATTGAAACCAAAGAAAGACAAACAACATCCGTCTAGTTATCGTCCGATTAGTCTCCTTAGTTGCTTAGGCAAACTACTGGAGAAAATAATCAAACAACGTCTAATGCTTGAACTTGAACGACGAAACATCTTACCACAACATCAAGCTGGCTTCAGACCAGGAAAAAGCACAGTATATAACATCGTGCGATTAGAACGATATGCTGAAGGACAACTAAGACGACCTAGTCGAAGACGTCACTCAGCTGCCATTCTTTTCGACATCAAAGCTGCTTTTGATTCAGTATGGCACGATGGTTTGATATACAAATTAAATGATTATCGTCTTCCTCGTTACATCATTAATTATCTTATCTCTTTCTTACAAAATAGAACTGCTGCAATTGAAATCGAAAATGTTTTATCTCGTCCATTCAATTTAAAGAGCGGTACTCCACAAGGATCTCCATTATCACCATTATTATATATTATATATACGGCAGATTCGATGAATGGAATACCGACTCATACAGAACATGGGTTATTCGCCGATGATACAGCTTTATGGACATCAGGAAACACCATGACAATCCTTAATACAAGGTTACAAGAGTCCATAGATGCATTCGAAAGTTGGTGCCAGTCATGGAAATTAAAACTACAACCAACGAAAACAGAGCTGATTCACTTCAGCTTACATCCAAGAAAGAAGTACAAGCATCCAGTGGAAGTAACAGTTGGCAACATCATTATTCAACCACTGGAACATACAAGATACTTGGGTGTAATTATTGACAAAGGATTAAAGTGGCGAAGTCATCTCGATCATATCGAAACAAGAATTGCTCCTCGGATCAGTCTTCTTCGATATTTATCGAGAACACCCTATGAACCCAACAACAAGACGATGATAAACATTTTCAAATCAATTGTACGCACAATCATCATTTATGGTCATCCTATTCTACTGACTGCTAATGATAAAGTATGGAAACGACTGCAGATCATGCAAAATAAAGCACTTCGAGCTGCACTCGGTCTACCCATATATACATCAGTCGAATATATTCACAAAATTAGTAATGTCCCAAAGATCAAGGATTATGCAACAACATTGCTGCAAAAATGCATTCAAACAGCAACTTCGAACAACGACATTACACTGAAAAATCATCTGCAAGACATATTCGACAAAATTTAAAAAATTCACCACCTACTATTCATTTCAATATTATCATCGAGAAACAAGAACATTGTTAAGTCAGCCGAATCTGTACAAAAATTGTTATATCGGAATCGCATACGACAAGATTGTTTCATATATACCGAGAAACGCAACAATGTTTTTGCTTATTCTTTTTTACCTATTAATGTATTTCTTTTCTTCCTTGGCTTCATTCTCATATATAATATGAAAGTGAGTCAAAGTATCGGCTCAATCATTTTTCATTATTCATGTAATTCTTTTCTTCTCTGGTGTCATTCTCATATATAATATGAAACTGAGCCAAAGCATTCGCTTAATCATTTTTATGTAATCCACTATTTCTTTTTCTCTCTCTTCCACTTCATATATAATATGAAGTTGGGTTTCAGTGCTTCAATGTACGTTTAACACCAACATTTACGATGTAATTAACCACAAACAATACCACTTCCTCATTTACCAACTCACACCAACAACCAACATCACAAACACACTACTACAGACAAAAGACGTTCGTCATGTGTCTGTTTTCTTTCCTTTTTTGTTCATTTTCAGCTTTTATGACAATACATGTTTCGTTCCGTTAAGTTGCATTTGCAGCTAGAAACGCGTTCAAATGCTTCTTACCTATGCAAAAACGAAAAAAATACTGCATTTACGTGCGTTACTGGAATTCAAAAGCATCAGCTACGTATAGAGTAAGCGCATTCGGATGCAGAAGCAAAATCCATCGCGGTGAAACGCGTTCAATCTAATATAATTTCCTGTTATGAACGCATTCAGATGCAAAAATGAAATTGATCGCGTTGAAACGCGTTTAAAAACTACTTTGAACCAGTTTTGATGCGTTTTGAGCACGAAACGCGTCTGAACGCATGCAAGACTTTGCAACGCGTTCAAACACCCACATGGTGAACGTATTCCAGGGCGTTGGGAGGCTGTTTCAGGTTTGATACGCATTTAAACGCGTCAAAAATGCGTTTTATAGTTACATGTGTGCGATCTTATCTGAATTTGTATCAGTTATTTCATCGAAGGGGCGTTGGGTCGGGCAATAGATGTTGTCTATCGATGATACTGCTAGCTTCAGAGATGTGAGTGTCGACATGACTATGCGCAAAAAAATATCCACACCCAAAATCCGTTCCTATAAGTGCTGATTTTTATGCGTCTTTTTTTTGAATTTAGTTCATCAATATTCTTCAAAATTCTATACTTCAATTAGATAAACTGATGTAACATCAACTTCATCTTGTAATGATGCTATAGCTAGTAATCATATCAATGTTGTTCACTGACTCTTCAACTTTTCGAATTTCAACATCGCACAATTGTGTTACCGAAGCTAAAAGAAATAGGTTTTCTTTTTGTGAAAATCTCTTCCATAAATTGATTGAATTGTATACGTACTGTTTATCCTATAATCCAATCTTTAGAGGTAATTTTCATTTTTAATGCACAAACACAACAATAATAATTTGCACTGTAAGGGTGAGGGTGTGGGAGTGGATGTGGGTGTGCGGGTGTGGGTGTGGGGTGTGTGGCGAAAAAGAGGTTCATACCTACACGCACAGGGTGTAGGTGGGTGTGGATGTGTGGGTGTGGGTGTGGATGTTGAGGAAAAGATCATTCACATCCACACTCACACCCTTTTTCAATAATAAAGGTCGAATACAAATTCCGTTTTTCTCATTCGAAAGAGGATTCATCAATCTATCGGATAAAAAAATAACCACAGTTTGATGGAACGAACTATAGTGAAAAAAAATTTGTTCGGAGTTTCTTAGTTTTGAGAAAAATGCACGAATGTTCTTTTCTTTGAACATTTTGTTGAATCATCTTCATTACATCAGAGAGAAATGTAGTTATATTGTATATCAATTAAAAGCCCATCAGACGTCTCATCGAGTAGACGTACAATAGTACGCCGTGTCATTGTTTGTCATTATGGACGATAAAAACAAGTAGGCCTATAAGTTCTCTATAGTCTTAGGTATCATATTTTTTGCCAGAAAGTTTTAGAAGTTCATCGATTATTCTAAAGAAACCTTTCGAAATTGAAAGTGACTTTCATGAATTTTAAAACTAGACACCCTAGAGGTGGTAACACCCATATGTTTATCTCGAAAATTGAACTTTTTAATAAAAAAAAAATCGATTTTTGGAGGGGGGAGGCGGCCTTAATCGATATAATTCATACAATTCTTTGTACCAAATATGACAGAGCCAACAATATCAAATACTTCTGTACCTCGCAAACAGTTTCGAAAAAGGTTTTAATTTTGCTTCTCGCACGTCTTTAGACTTTGGTAACTTGATCGTAACTGTTAGAAAACAAGTAATTACCAAAAATTTTTCCGATTTCTACAATGTAAGGATGTTCTCAGGGTTTTTATCAAACAATAAAATACCGACATACTGAGTGCATCTACTCTTTACGACACCATATCTTTAAAGAATCAAGTGAAAAAGTGTCGAAATATGTTGCATATTTAACATCAAGTGAAAGACATGAGATGGTATCACACAATATCACAATTGTCTTCTTCGTTTCACCATATATTCTATTTTTTCATTGTTTTAAAAAGCTCATTCACAAAATAATCGACTAAAGAAATGTATTAGCTCATCTGTGGAGCGTTCAGCAAGACTATAAGAAAAAAATCAGTATTATTACATAACACGCTCATGAAATTTTCGACATTTATTCGTCGATATTTTTTCTCTCGACATTTTCTTCTTTGATCTTTTTACATCCAACGAAACAGAACAATAAAATATATCATTATATATTAATTGTTTGATCTATCACAGTCGTCAATATAAATATAAAAATATAACGCATCGAAGTTTCGGCATATCACACGAATCTATCATAGTCTACCTAAAATGTGTTAAAGAAAGTCATATTTTGTTCTCAGTCATTCTTTACAGATTTTATGTCGATAGATCTCTATTTTTTTAGAGAGTATGCGATATGTATTTAATACAAGTTTTTATAAAATATTCCAGCTAAACATCCAAATAATCATTTTCATATTGGTATCATGCTTCACCAAAAAGCATCTAAAAATAAAAGCTAAATAAAAAACCTCTATCTATGTAATTAATTTTACGAAAATATGCTTCCTTCGTCAAATGATTTGTTGATTACAATGTTAGTTAGGTGAAGTATATATTAATAAGTATATTCGATCAATGAAATATTCTATAAATAAGAATAGAACTGTTTTGTTTAAGTACGATTCATTTTACAGTAACAGCATCAAATCATATTATCAGCTTACAATCAATATACACTTGATAAACTATAAAGACAACCTTAAGGTATGAATCAAATCAATAAATGTATATGTACCGTTTCAAAAAAACAGTCAAAATGTTACTTTATCATGTTTTAACGTTCTTATAATCATTTTTGTCTCTCGTCAGTAACTACATCAATCAAGCTTTCCAAACTGTTTTATATGTAATGAAATTTGAATCATGACACATATTTCAATTTTATCCTTGTAAAAGGGAGTAACATGTTAAAAGACAAAATGTTTTCAATAGTTAGAACTTGTTTTTCAGAGACAAACCATACATATTTTAATTGTTGAAAATCACATTACTTAAAAAACATTTTTCGCGTTTCATTATCTTCCTGAATAAACATGGTGTATATATTTTTTTGTGATATGATAAGAATTTCTTCAACCAGATTCATCGCAGACAACTAAGGTATCCTTGGTTGTGTAACACAAGAGTTCATTTACCTCCAAATATTTGCAATACTCTTGTTTCGGGTATTCAATGGGATCCCTACGAAAAAAAATTCCATTAGTATTTCCAGATTGCATGAAACTTTCAAGTTTCGTATAGCATCAATGTCTAACATTATCTGTAAGATAAGTTTTCTCAATTTCATTAGAAAAAAAGCCGTATACACATAGAAGATAATATATTATACAGTTTTAGTACAAAAAAAAAACAATTATTGAAACTAGTGTTTTCTGGAAAAACGAAACTGACGGCTTAAACAGTAAAATCATCAATTACATTAGATATTGATATATAAGTGGTAATTTTTGCTTTTGATCGTCCGACTCATTGACTTTTATTAATGATATCAAAAAAAAAATTTGTCTTACAGATAATGTTAAATTCACATGGTCTACAATAATTAAAAGTTTTGTGTAACTTAGAAACATTTTTTGGATGTTTTAGTTGATACCTCGTGAAACACTTCATCTTCAATATACGGTAACGATACAGTATTACTTCTATTTTGTTTTCTTTCATGCTAATGTTTGATAATGAGGTGTAAGACTTTTTTTTATAATTAAATTCATTCTAATTTGTTATAGTAGAAAAATGAATTGTTCTGCTACAAAAAACAATCGAACGACAATTTATTTTTTATTGGTGATGCTTCCTTGTACTATCAAAAGTGCAACTAACCATATTTCAAATTGTCCTAATCGACAATGGATTGAAGAGTCTCTCCAGAAAGCTCATGTTCCAGGCGCAGCAATTGTTGTACTGAATGCTACTGATGTAGTCTATGAATTAGCCGTTGGCTATCAGTCTCTGTCACCGCAACAACCTATGAACGTTAACAAATCTATTTTTCCTCTTGCTTCGATCGCAAAAACATTTATTGCTACTGCTGTTATGCAACTTGTTGAGGAAGAACTGGTCGATCTTGATACTGATGTTAACGTGTATTTATTAGAACCGCAGAAACGTATCTTCCATCCACAATATCCAAAGCATTCAATCACTTTACGCAAACTACTCTCACACTCGGCTTCGATTTACATCAGTGATTCAGTGGTGTATACCTATTTTCGATCTGATGATGATGCATTTAATGAATCTTTAGCTGACATGTGTTTCAAATATGTGAATCCAAACACATCGAATTGGTTGCCAAAACCGCCAGGTACAGTGACTTCATATTCTAATGAAGGTCCAACGCTGGCTGCATTAGTTGTTGAACGAGTTTCGAATATGTCTTACATAGATTATGTCAAAGAAAAAATAGTGAAACCACTGGGTATCAATATCAGCGAAGTTGGCGTACGGCTGTCTGACTTTGAAAATATCGAGGATCTTGTAAAGCATTATATCTATGTAACCAATACGTCTTATATCACCGACCTGAATAATCTATTCCCTCAATTAAATATTACACAAATACAAGTAAATGCATCTGAATAATCAATAGATGTCCCTTTGTTTTATTTCTGTTTAGAGTAACCTTCCTACTTGGCTTCACATTTCACATTTTGGTTTTAGCGCCTATCCAGCTGGTCTCTTACGAATGTCGGCTGGTACCCTATCCATATATCTACGTATGTTTCTCAACAATGAATTACCAGTTCTTCGTCCACAGTCGATTGCTGCAATGCGAACAATAGTTGGCGGTGGTGTCATACCATCGTACGATCCACAGTGGAGCAATAAATCTATGGAACTGCCACCATCACAAGAATTTGGCCTTAGTTGGTATTGGGAAACGATGAAAGATGGTCGCCGATACATTGGCCATAGTGGTGCACTGCCAGGCATGTCACATTTGATGTTGGTCAATGAAAAGAATACTTTGGGTGTAATTCTTCTTTCGAATATAGAAGGCGATTTACCAGGATACCTGTTACCAGACATATTTGAGGTGATAGAAAATATTCACATGTCACTTTTTCAATGTTTCGACGTCGATCTTGTTGACACGTCTGCTAGTCATACTGAAGGAACTCATATTAGATTCTTTATTGTTCTTCTACTTTTTCACTCTTTGTTTATATGTTAAATGTTTGTTTACCTATAGACTGCTCTCTTTTATAAAACGCATCTAAACTAGTAGTAATCACCATCTAGCACTGAAAAACTTTCTTGATGTTATTT